CGCGAGTTCGAGGCTCGGGTGTTCCACACTTCGGGCTTGGGTATGGCTGGCTGACGACGGCTAATAAGTCAGAAATGGTCATTCCAGTCTCCCTTGTCTTTGTCGGTAATGCTATTCTGCCTATATATCATGCGCCGCTGTGCGGCTGCTGGTTGCGCTCGAGAGAGAGTCCATAAGGCACAACGGAACGAGTGAGTTCCGTACGAACGATCGGTGAGCGCCCCCTAACATTATTTATTTCATATGTAATCATCTCTTCTGGGTGAGGTCTCTTCGCAAACACTCCAGTGACTACCATTTCTGGCCACACCTAGACCGTCTTTTCGTTGTACCTGAAGACCCATGGGCCATTTCGCAAAAGTAAATGTTATTAACATACCCAGTAGAGACAGCACAGGGCTACTAAGAAATATTAAATCGAAGTACTTCCCGGCAGATCTCACATTATGACTACCTACAGTCAAGGTCGTTTGCGTTAAGACGGTTTTTGCCGTGCCGGCTGCTAGCCTAGGGTCGTCGTGATGCCCGCCAATTAAGTGCCCTTTACCAGTGTCCATGACGGTCTTAACGCGCGGCTGACCTTGAGTAACCAAAGCGTCCTTGAAGGGTTTCGCCTGTCAGAGTGCTTACAGCAATTGTTGGCTTACTTTCAACCGCATGTGGTTTTAACATGTTTAAATATTTACCTGTATCTCCCTTCCCCACTGCCGACGTTTAGGTGAGGCGCTCAAACGTTTGCTGGAAGAGGAGAGGATGCGTCGGGCGATTCCCCCAAAACTGCTTCCTCAATCATTGCAGGACAACGAGTACAATGTGAGGACAAGACTAAGGGCGCTATTTGAGGCAGCTGGTGATGGTGTGAATGGCCTGGACAACATCCTCGAGGCCTTTGAGGACGATGAGGAAGCACTGTCCACCCTTCTTTCTGTGGTCTATGGAGGTTCGTCTGCATTTTCATATAAACTTGCCATTTGCACTCCTCATACGCTCTCTAAATTAACTGCCTCGGTGCGTAACAGCAATGCAGAAGAAATCCTCTCTTTTTATTAAGGGGGCATGTTACAAATAGTTGACAGTTTTATGACAGCCTACTCAGCGT